ATTGAAGGCAAGATGGCGTCGCTCAAGTGTTGTTGTTCATGTCAAATGTTGTTTTAATAGGCCGTTATTTCCTAACCAAGCTCGTTTATTCAGGTAAACTTAGTATCATTAACATATTTTGAATGTGAGGAAGTAGTTTGTGAATGTCTTTTTTCTCGAATTATGTAACTGTGGGAATTATTGACCAGTTTACCTTCGTTTTTTAGGTATTTCTTATTTTTTTTACTATTTGTCTCTTGTCTAGTCTGTCTGTTGTGTCAGTGAAAACAGATTAGATAATGTGCTTGACGTAAGATCTACCTTTGAGTGTGAATACGGAGAGTAACTCTAGAGAAGTACAAGAAAGGGAAATGGGTTTGGAAGGGCCAAGGATTTCCCAAGGCTTTCTGCCACTTCCTCGTCGTGGCTTCGAGGACGTCCTGGTTTTTTATTCCCTCTAACACCCTTTACTTTCACGTAGATCTCTCCAGGACTCGGGGTGAGAAGGAGCTAGGCCTACACTCAAATGGTTTATTTAGACTTACATTTAATGTTGTGACTTTGGTGAATTTCACTTATTTTGCTTTGTGTCAGAATTGGCCTTTGGTGTCAGTTTGGTGTGTAGGGGAAGAATTAAGGGAGGGAGTTTGGTGACTCTGTTTCCTTAAATGGATTTGTATGAAAATTGGTGTTTATTATTCACTAATGTGGAAATATGACACATTGTGAATAACAGCAAAACACTTGAAAAAGGACATCTTTATTTGGGTGAAGTCAGTGGGAGTGTGAGTGTCAGAGTGAGTGGCGTAGGCCTATCCCTGAAGCACTTAGCCTAGAGTAACTTTGTCCACTGAAGCCTCTAGATGTTAAGATTTGACTTTATGTTTTTCTTGTTTTTAGGAGATCGTTGGGATTCATTTGCAGCAAAAATTCGTGAAAATTGTTTGCCCCCGGTGCAATATATAACTCAAGAAGTTATAAAAAATTTTGTAATGCATGTTTATTTGATTGTATCTGTGTAGGGGTTTATATGAGATATATCAAGGTTTTTTTTCTTCTTAACCCTTAGAACCTAACATAAACTTCATCTATCAGTCTGTAGAAGATGACAGGAAATCACCTACCATTTGTGCCTATCCAAAAGAATGGACCCTAGAGAAATTTTAAAGAAAATTAGACTCCTGCTTCAATAAAGACAGTAATTATGATACAGAAGAAATGTTTGAAGAAAGTGAAAGTGATATGCAAGCTTTAGGAGCCACAGGCCAAAATAGTGACTTGAGATGAAATCATATAAGTTTACGTTTCTGTTGAAAATACCTGTTACACATGCATTCAAAATACGAGTATGTGTGATGGATCGAACTAGAATATTAGTGAAGTGAATGTCATTGAAGAAATAAGTAATCCAGAAAGAGCAAAAAAAGATCAGATAAACACAGCTCACCTATCACTTGTGTGGGTTACCTCTCTGCCTAGGCCCATAGTCAACCAACCTACAGCTACCAAGAGAGAAAGTTGAAGGTAGCTATATACTATGAAGCATTTTTGAAGTATCCAAATCAACAAGACTCGGGGGAAGTTCATTTTTTTCTTGCTTCGACATTCCAATTACATTTATTTTCCCCATCTGTTTGGCTGGAGTGACCTTGCTGATTTGCATACTGTAGGTTTAAGAAGTAATAGAGGATACATCTCATCATGATTTTGTTTGAATTTAACATTTATAAAAAAAAAAAATAGTATTGATGATTGGGTCCTGATGTTTTCCTGGAAACATATTTATGTAAGATGCCATCAGAAGGTAAATTTTCCAAGAAAGCAGAATTCCTTAAGCTGAAGAGGCTGTACCTTTACTGTAGTTGCGATGGCATGTTTGTTGGTGCTTTTCTTCTCTCAGTCATCAGTTAGTTTGCTATTTTCATGCAAAATTTCTATAGAATGTATAAAATGATTACACCTTAGATATATTTATATAGAAGAAATTTATTTATTTCTATTCTCTGTGGTGTGACTAGCACCATGAAGGTAGAAAAATAAGGGCACTCTTATATTATGCTTATCATTTATAAGTACTATTATAAGTAGTTAAACTTCTTGCTGCTATTGAATTCAAGGTGTTTACTGTGCATCTCAAGGAGCATATTGACTGCATGACCAATTATTGTGATATGTCACATAGTTGGTGTGGTATTATACACATGCCTTAATCATTATTAGGAAATTATCAGTACTTGCCCTTTCATGTTTATGTAACTCAGATATTCATTCATTACTGTTATACTTTAATTTTTAAAAGTTTTTGATACATTTCTGCACAAACATCTGTTCATAGAACTTTCATGTTGTGTCAAATGCTAACCATTTTGAAAATTATATACTGGCCATAAAGAAATGGACATTGGTAGTTAGCACTGTGTGATATCTGAGCCTTCAGGTGTTTTAGTTAAAAAAAAAAAAAGGTAATTAGATACTAAAGAATTCAGACAATTTATGGGATCAGAAAAAAATGGTGTTTCTC